GGTTCGATGCACGGTTGTAGACGATACACCCAGCTTATTTGCGGCATCTCGGAGAGAGAGGTTAGGGTTTCGCTTGAAACTACCGGCAACTCTCTTTGTCGTCTCAGCGGCTTCCGGTTTTCGATTTCCCCCCGATCCAGACTTCCTGGCTGTCGACAAACGTTCCCCAAACACTTTAATTACATTTGTAACGGTTGATTTGGCAACTTTTAGCGATTTTGCCAACTTTGCGTGCGAGTAGCTCGGATTTTCGCGATGCGCGAGCAAAATTTTGATACGCTGCTCTTCTTGCTTGGACGGCATTTTGACAACTGAAGAGTGAATTCCAAAATCAAAATAGGAGCAACATTCTACACACACACACCTTCAAAATGAGGGGTGTTCAGGTTTTTTAAATGCAAAATTGAAAGAAATACGTCAAGTTGATATTGACCAAATTTTGACCGTATCACCCTTTATGGTCATTGTAGACAGCTTTAGTCCGGGAGTTAGAAGGTGATAGCTCTATTGCAGATCCAGCAACCCATTTCAGAATGTCTGGAGAGTCACGCCCATTCCGAGGTTACTTTCACTTACAATAAGCCCCGCATGTACGCATCACCGTTATCAAATGGATATTAGTATTACATACACGCTTCCAGTTTTGAAAATATATTTTTTCAAACCTGGCATGTATTTACTTTAATTTTGATATATTTTTTTTTTTAATAATTGGAAAATCCTCACCATATTCTGCTCTTCCGCCGTCGTTGATTACTTCTTTTGGAATCCCTTCGACTTTTTCTCTAACGCTTCGTATTTCATTCCGTGCTTCACCGGCAATTTCCTTCCGTAGATCGTCCTTGGTTGGTTCTAATATGATTCCGCCTTTTTTGGTCGGTTTCATTGAATTGAAATGAATTGCCATGGTGATCTGGGACGAGGCTCACGTCCAAAGTCGCTGTTCCACCGAGCGCTCCGTGTGCGAAAAGAGAATGAAAGAAATACGAAAGGGATCAGTTTCAAGAAGTGACAGTTTCATCACATTCCCCAACTAACCATAGTCAAGCAAAGTAAGAATATACAAGCTATATTGCGACTATATGGTTACTTGGGTACTCATATGGCCGTCAGAATGGTTCATCGGTTGCGAAGTGAAATATTTCTCAAAGTGATGCGTTATATTTCTCAATGTTTTGATTTTATCCTAACGTTACCTCAATGTTATATCACAGACAAACAGACACAACACATTGAACATTTCTCATTGTAAACACACCGCCATCTACAGAAGGCTGTAGTGTGTAAACGTCAAACGCAAGGGAATTGATTATGCTTGGAAAAAAATCCGTTCCCGAAAATAGGAACGGACCGTGAACTAAAAATCACGGCCAACTATCCCGAACAAAATTTTCTCAAATATACACCGTGAACTATGGTTCACGGCTGTGGTTCACGAATATGGGAACTCTTTTTTTCCCGTGTGTGCACCACAAGTGGTGGTACTACCAACTAAGAAACATTTAAATTGACCGTTAAAAACGATTTCGATGAAGGTTTTAAGAGTGTTATGGCTGCTTGTCTGTGATCACACCTTCACTATCGCAACTTCGGGTAATCTGCGAAAGTATTTGCATTTTATCTCAGGCACTTTTGATCTAACTGCAATTACTCTCTCATACTCGAAATGTGCCACGACCAAATTGGCACAACGACGCCCTATACGCTCTCTGACCGAAGCGCAGGGAAATTACCTAAAGTTCTCAAAATTTAACTGAAAATAGTTGAGCTTCCTTAAAGTTTTCAATGTTTCTCTCAAGATCTACGAATTTCCCTGAAATCGTATAAATATTTTTCTTAAACCGCCGAACTTCTCTGAAGTTCTGCAAATTTAACTGAAGGTCCATGAAAATTTCTAATGAGCAATAATCTTTCGGTAGATCTCCAAACTTCTCTGAAATTCTTTGCATTTCACTGTAGATTCTTGGACTTTTCTAAAGGTCTGCGAAGTTTCCTGAATATTTACCAAAATTTCCCTTATAGTTTTACAAATTGATCTGAAAATATTTAAGGTGATTTTTTCTGAATTTCTGCAAATTTCTCTGAACCTCTAAAAAATTCTTAGTAGGTTCTCAGATCTGCTGTCTGGCATGCTTATTCTTATATAATACATACTTCGTATCTCTCGCTTTTTTTTAACGTAAATATCTCGGCATCATAAACGAATTTCGATAGAATAGATTATTGTGAATAGGCACTTTTCACATATCACGCGAAATATTTTTCCATAAACAGATAGCAAACTGGAATCGATTGCATGTCAGAGTTTGAATGGTACACTCAAAAACTTTATCACATATCTAATGGATGAAACCAATGGGAATTTCACATAGCTTTCATGTGATCCCATAGCTAAAAATCCCACTACAAAATCACATGAATATTATGAGGCCGATGAAATTCATATGAAAAATCATATAAAATTAACGTGATCGCATAAATGTTATGTGAAATTCAGATGAATTCCATTAATTTTGTTTATGGATGAAAATCATTTGCGTTTCCAATGGAAGCTGCATATGAAAACTATTTTCGGTGTATAAAGAAGAAAAAACGTCTAGCGTCACTTTTCAATAGATCCTATCGCTTCATCGGCTCTCTCGTTAATAGCTCGGATTCAATCATATTTCGGGCTAAAAGCTGTTAAAGAAAGTATCAAGTATATTAAACGATAAGAACAGCTAGACATGTTTTTCAAGCCGTGCTTTTAACGAAAGAGAGATAATCGATCCATGTAGATTGAACTATTTGAAAACTGGCGAGAGAATTACCGTACGTAAATAAAACTGCTAACTCCGCTGATCTTTCAACACGCTCTTCTTGTGTTAGCTTGCCGAATTCGTCAGCAAATTCATCGACAATGAGGTAAGTGATGAGAATCCGATTCTTTTTGGGCAGAATGCTAATGGTGTTAAAGTTCTCCAATATTTGTTTTCCTTTTTTGGATCCGCAGATTAGATTCTGGGACGTCCATTCATCTCTCGATCATACTACCCAGGAAATAAATATTGTAATGATGACTCCCCAGGAAATAAATATTGTAATAATGTAAGTATCTATTAAATACTCACCGAAGCATACCTGAACTTTTTTCCTGAAATTAATACTTGCACGACATCTGGAGGAACGCAGAAAACACGCGCGCAGCGAGAAGAATCGCAAGAGCTGTTATCAATGTGATTGGTTAGGCAGAAGGAAACAAGTCAGCTCTTTCATTATAACGAAGTTCTTATGCATAATCTAGTGTGACGTAACATTGGATCATGCGTAAGAACACCGTGAGAACGAAAGAGTTGACTACATTTCTTTTGCCGCACCTATAGAGATTTTCACGTTCGATTGAATTGGTGCGATATGTGAGAGCGTGTCAAACTCATTTTGGCAGATCTAATTTCATACATTTTTTAGGTTAGCCATAATAAACAACTTTACACGGCGGTGCACACGCTAGTGTGCGTGCGTTAAACGTCACAAATCTCTATAGTTACGCACACGGTTGCGGGGCTGACTGTTCCTTCGATGAGTGAGAAAATAGCACCCCGTCATCGTGAGCGAGAACCGCGAGAGCGCGAGTTGCCGGACGGGGACGTGCTGTCAAATCCGCCTACTGATCATTCTTGTATGCAATTGGTTCCAAACAGAACTAAATATACGAGGTAGGCGACGATTGTTTGACAGTCACATCCCACCCGTGGAGTTTCCAGATCATTGCACACAAAATCAACTTTGTTAAAATAAAAAAATAAAATACTAGCCCATCTGGTGGCTGATGGCACAAGTTTCTAAAAAAAATTCTATTAGGGCCCATGCATTAATTATGTCACGCTAAATCGAGCAAACCATTTCCCCCCCCCCCTTCCCTATCGTGACGTTTTTCCTATACCTAATGCATTGCTTGTTACAAAATCTTAGACCCCCCTTCCCCCCTTAGAGCGTGACATAATATATGTATCAACCCTTACAGCGAACCACAAAATTTTAATTGATTTCTTCGCCAGTTAGTCGTCTGTAGCTTCGTTTGTGGTAAAAGTATGGACTTCTGTCAAAAGTTGAACCAACAATCAATACGAAACTAACTATTTTAAATTGGCTCACCACTTTAGTAGCCTATTGGTCCCAAGCAAACGATTAACGTACCCTATTCTAGTCGAAATTCTAGTACTACGCAATGTTTGTTTTGATTCGCTATGAAAGTTTGACAGATAAAATGAGGGGTTATTGGTTTTTCCTATGTTTCGAGGGGTGAATCGATTAGCTTGGACCGAAGAGAGTACCAGAGCTGAGCCAAAAAGTTGAGCACGTTATTTCGGGACCTTCTAGTCTTAGAGTTACCTCTATGGTTGAACCAACAATCAATACGAAACTAACGATTTTAAATTGGCTCACCACTTTAGTAGCCTATTGGTCCCAAGCAAACGATTAACGTACCCTATTCTAGTTGAAATTCTATTACTACACTATGTTTGTTTTGATTCGCTATGAAAGTTTGACAGATAACATCAGGGGTGTGTGGATTCATGCAGAACATGCAGGGGTGAGTGAAATAGCTTGGGACTGCTTGGGACCGTTGTTCTGGTACTGAGTGAGCCAAAAATAATAATGATTTTCTTCGGGACCCAGTGGTCTTAGAGTTACCTCTATGGTTGAACCCTCAAAATGCACCGCTTTGCTCGATTGGAACAGGGACGGGACTTGACAATCGGGTAGCGATTTCGAACTAATTTGCTGTCAAATCCGAGCCAGTTGCTGGTTGGTCGATTTTACAGTAGCTATTGTGGAATAAAAAGGACAGAGGGACCACATCTATCTGACTGGCAGTGATGCCAGAATCAATGTTGACGTCAATGGCGTTGTTAATTTTTTTATTTGCGAAAGTAAAGTTGGAAAATAGGGTTCACGGCGTGCTTTAAGCGATGGATATTGTTGTTTGTTTATGGTTGTTTTTATTGTGTTAAGCAAAAATGATGTACAAGGTGCAAAACTGTGGTAGAAACTTAGAATAAAATTCTAATTAAAATAGAAGAATCATTCTGCAATCCTGACACCAAACTCGTTTCACAGGCAAGTACGTTTTTGGCGTTAGTGTCCCATTGCCTGATACTTCCTCGGATTTCAGAGAATCGTCGCATGGCAACACCATCGAACTCGACAACAAGTACCGAGATTCTGTTGTACCGACCACCATTCTTTCTTATCATGATCAGCTCAAACCAGAACGCACTGCCTGCCGCCTCAAGGAAGCCCTCGATCCACTCAACACAGTCGCGCCTTCTGGTTCCTGCCATCGTAGTCGTTCTGACCCTGTGGTTGATGATGCTGACGGGGACTTCCAAGCACCTAATTCAGGCAAGTAACTCTTCTCCTCCTGATTTCTCTCCGAGCTGCAGCAATACGTCATACTCCGATGGCTTCAAATCCCACATCACCGATGGGACATACAGCACTGCACCGGATCTTGCTCGCCACGTTTTGGAACATCCCAGACCAGAACGCGCTGCCTGCTGCCTCAAGGAAGCCCCTGAGCCACTCAACCCAGACGCGCTTGCTGATTCCTGTCATCGTAGTCGTTCTGGCCCTGTGGTTGAGAATGGTGAAGGGGTCTACCAACCTTCTACATCAGGCAAGTATGCGTTTGTTGAAAACAGTTCTTCTCCTGATCCGTCTCTGTGTTCCAGAGTACCACTATGCTCGTTTCGGCTGATTGATCATTCTGCAGACCTCCAACCGACTTCGTTAGACCGCCTGTTGGTGTATTAACAGAACGTTCGTGGCCTGCGAACAAAGACTGATGTTTTTTCCTGACTTCCGTTGACTATGTCATAGTTCATACGGAAACCTGGCTCGATGACCGCATTAATTCATCTAAATTATTTGGCAGTATATTCACGGTATTTCGAAACGACCGCAACCACCAGAATAGTACCAAATCGCGTGGGGGAGCCGTCTTGATTGCGGTATCCAAATGCCTAAGCTCCTGCATCGATCCTGCTCCAGTTTGCACTTCTCTAGAGAAGCTGTGGGTCAAAATAACGACGCCTCGTAGATCAATAAGTATTGGCGCTATGTATCTACCTCCAGACCGGAAATCTGATTCGAGCAGCATTGCAAACCACATCAGTTCGATTGGTACCGTGTTCTCTCGACTAGAACAAAACGACCTAGCTCTGGTATTTGGTGACTACAATCAGTCTGGGCTCTCATAGAACGTTCCTGCAAACGATCTTCCTAGCATTGATGTTCTTCGCTCGAATGGTTTAACCATTAATGGTTTCAACCTGCATGGCTTAACGCAAATCAACTCGATACTGAATAGCAACTCTCGGCTGCTTGATCTCGTTCTGGCGAACGAAGCTGCAGGACTGGAATGTTCTATCCTAGAAGCCCCAGAGCCTTTGATTGGCATCGACACCAATCATCCTGCGTTGGAAGTTTCCATCAACCCATCTGTTCCTGTTCGCTACGATAACCCCTCTGTTGAAGTACATGAGCTCGACTTTCGTAGAGCAGATTTCGTCGCGCTGAGTCACTCGCTTGCCCAGGCAGATTGGCAGTTCCTTGACACGTGTTCATCTATTGATGAAGCCGTCAACTACTTCGCTGAGGTCGTTGGCCGGGCAATAATTAATTCTGTCCCATTGAGGAGACCCTCTCCCAAACCCGCATGGTCCAATGCTCGACTACGCAATTTGAAGCGTCTGAGATCGAAAACCCTCCGTAAATACTGTCGTACTCGTAACCCATTCACCAAACGATTATTTTCAACAGCGAGCAACGAATATCGCACATATAACCGCATTCTTTACAAGAGCTACACAAGGCGTGTGCAGGCTAATTTACGGCTTAATCCAAAGCAGTTCGGGTCATTCGTGAATACCAAACGATACGAGGAGGGGCTACCAGTCGAAATTCACCTGGGTGATAGAATCGCCAGCAATTCCTTTGAGAAATGTAATCTTCTGGCAGAACATTTCAAAAGCATTTTCAATAACACTACGGCTTCGTTGTCCCAAGTTGCTGAAGCGGTGAGGGACACTCCCAGTGATGCTTTCAATTTTTCGATTACCTCGGTTACAGTAGACCTCGTCGAATCCGCCATCAAGAAGCTGACATTTTCTAATGCTGCTGGCCCTGACGGGATCCCCTCAAGCATCCTGAAGCGATGCTGTTCAGAGCTTACAACACCGCTTTCGAAGCTGTTCAATATTTCATTACAGCAGGAGGAGTTCCCTACGCGTTGGAAATCGTCATTCATGTTCCCGATCTACAAGAAAGGAGACAAGAGAAACCACGTAAATTACCGAGGGATCACATCACTCAGTGCCTGCTCTAAAGTTTTCGAAATCATCATCAACGACGCATTATTCTCTAGCTGCAGAAATTACATTTCTCCTGACCAACACGGTTTTTTATCCCAAGAGATCAGTTTCAACAAATCTAGCTCCGTTCATTTCTTTATGTCTTCGGAGTATGGAAGCTGGACAATGACCATTGCTATTCTCGATTTTTGTGAATGAGGCCGGACTGATCCTCCCAACTGGTTGCCGATCGTTCTACGCGAGAAGATCTATGTGATTGCTCGTAGTTTCGCTGATTGCTTGCGGCTTCAGCACGTAATCGATACTTTCGAAGAGTGGTGCTCAAGAAACTATCTCACGTTGAATGTACAAAAATGTAATATTATCTCATTTCATCGCAAGCTGAAACCAGTGGCATTCAACTATACGATAAATCACCAACTTCTGCAACGTGTGGACAATGTCCGTGACCTAGGAATCACACTGGACTGCGCCTTAACATTCAAGCTTCATTACTCGGGCATCGTTGCGAAAGCTAACAGGCAACTCGGGTTCATTTTCAAGATCGCTGACGGGTTTCGCGATCCTGCCTGTCTAAAAGCTCTATACTGCTCTCTAGTGCGATCGATCTTGGAATTCAGCTCGGTAGTATGGTGCCCGTATCAAGCAGTTTGGATAGCGAGGATTGAATCTGTTCAAAGGAAATTTGTTCGGTATGCCTTTCGTCACTTTCCTTGGAATAAACCTGTGAACCTACCGCCATACGAAGATCGTTGTCTACTCCTGGGTCTTGAAACACTAGAACATATGCGGACGATTTAATCAGGCCGCGTTCGCAGCGAAAGTACTTATTGGTGATATCGACTCTCCAGGAATTATGGCTGAATTCAAAATCTATGCACCCAAACGAGTTCTTCGGTCGAGGAGTTTCCTGCAGCTTGAACCTTGTGCTGCGAACTACAGCTTGCATGACCCAATACGGTTCATTTCTGGGCGTTTCAACGAGTTTTACGAGTTTTTCGACTTTAACTGTGCAGCGGAAACCTTTTGTCACCGTATTCAACGCAGACTCCTGAGAAGGTGAGTAGCTGTCCATTTAATGTACACGTGAAGGATTGTGCTACCGGTTTATTTTTTTGTTTCCGGTTTATCTGTATGATGAGAACTTCTACCTGATTCACGGACAACTCTATGCCATAGGAGGATAGCTTTTTTATGCTATAGACTTGATTAATGTTCGTTGTAATTGTATTGTATTATTGTGATTCATGTATTTCGAAAAGATATGGTGTTTTACGCCTTTTCTAGGCTTTTCCCTATCAGGCTTCATTTAGACACGTTAAGTCCCATGAAGGAAAACATTTTTCGGAGACGAGCCAGCCAACGGCTGAAAGTCTCCTTAATAAAGATATAAAAAAAATGAAGGAAAACAAAATAAATAAATCATTGGTCAACTCCGTCAAACACCATGCAAAAACGTTAAGAAGAGTGAGTAGCTGGAACAGCTTTTTTCAGTTTTGTGGTGACAGTCGTCCATACTTTAACTAGAGGGCTTTAGTGGACTCTACCTACATTGGTGGTGCATTGGAAAAGCCTATAGCCCTCTGTCTTAACCACATTCCATTAGACAAGGATAATCAATGCAATCCTATACCAAAACCCCTGCAAAAGTCGCTCCACAGTTCACCTTTTTTTGCTACTCATTGATAAAAAAAAAACTTCCCCACAAATGCCGGAAGGAAGTCGGAGCGGGAAAAACGGGCGGAAACGGTGGCAAAAAATTTCAAACAGTGCACTTTGTTTTGCTGTTGCACTCTGTCTGTTTAGTACACGGAACCCTTAACAAATCGAGCCTGGGAATGGCAACAAATTGCATGCAGTTTCCTCGATTCCCCGGCGACTGCATGTGGCTGCAAGTTCACTTTTCCACCACCCACAGGGCTCCGTCGTAAATTGGAATGTGGGAGCTTTGCATACACTTAACCCCCCTCACCCACTCCCTCTCCCGACCTGTTGTAAGCGACTGCTTCCGCCAAACTACTTAACAGTTGGATTCTCGTTTCTTTTTTCGTCGTGCTCGATTTCTTTCAACCCGGACTTTCGGACGGAACGGATCGAAGGAGGGTGATGGTGGGTTATAAAAGCAATTCAAAATAGACGTTCTTTTTTATCCTATCGAGGGTGGAAATGGAACTGGATGCTTTTGAAGAGGTAGTACTCGTAGATTGAATGGAATGTTAGGTGGTTGCAGTATCTGTTGAATGCGATTGAAATAAACAAGTTGAAAATGACTTGTCGATCCACTCCAGTTTGTCAGCTTAGCACTATTTAAATCATTGAATATTGTTATCGTCAATCAACTTCTTTATTTTTCTAATATGATTTCGCTTGATTTTTATTTAAAATCCCTGAGCCAAAACTTCTAACCACTCGTTTAGTCATTCCAATCAACGTTCACATTTTGAGCAAAAGTTTAAATCATCATCATCATTACAAATGTTGAACTTCTGCCTTTACTTGCACTCATCTGCAGCAAGTAAAACGCAAACTTTCCCCCATTGCAAGTATTTTTGTATAATCCAAGCTGTATACAACACAAAAACGATTACGCAAAAAAAGCGAAATCGTTTTTCTATGAACGCAACAGTGAAGGTGAGCAAAGTTGTTCCTTCCTTGGTGCCGGATTCAACTTTCACATCGAGTAAAAAAAAAAACTATTTCAAAATAGTGGCTTCCCCTGGCTTGCGAGTTCGGTGGAAAGTTTCAGAGGATTCGATCAACGCAGCTTTCCCCAACAAAGAAACGTAATTTGCTCTTTTCGTGTCCTTGCAGCAAAGTAATGCAGAAATTGACGCACCAGAAAAAAGGAAAGTTAATTTCAGACCCTTGAAGCTGCCGTCTCAATAAAAAAAGGCCCAACCAGCCAGCCAAGAGAAGGAGAGCTGCGGATCATATGGTTGAGGGAAATTTCTTCCTTTCAATCTAATTTGTTATTCAAATTGCACTGAAAACTGTTCCCGGCTGTGCGCGCCAAGTTTATGGATGCACGAAAAAA